ATGATGTGGTCGGTGTGAGGATTTGCTAAAAAATGTCAGAACTCCGTAGTTTTTCAGGACCCCTGCCCAATCTGACCAATTGAATTCAAATTCCAATTCAATTTTTCTTGTATACCACCAAATTCATAACAGAAGTTATCTCAGACAACTTTTCAAATAGACAGGTTAGACCGACTCCCTTAAAAATTATTTCATTATTATTTTATTTACTTAAGTTTACGGGGGATATGTGGGTTCAATAGAGCTGTGACTCTCTGATCAGCTGGCTAACAGTTGCTGAAGAGGAACCTAGGTTGTTTCTTATTTTTTCTAATTAGTGAATGTGATGACAGTATAGCCATATGTCGTTCATTCCACCGCTGGGCTGTTCGAGGTGGTGTCCGATGTGGGGCTTCATTGATGTGGGTCTTCATTGATAACTGGCAGCCTTTTTGGGGAAAGCCTGGTCTGATTAGGAGAGAAGGCATCCATCCCACTTTGGAATGGAGCCGCTCTCCTTATCCAGGAATATGGAGAAGTTTATTTCTAAAACTGGACAGTACAGAGTTGGGAACCAGGAAGCAGAGCTGCTGTCTTACACAACATTCTCTGCTCTTTCCATTAGTACGTCCCCACCCAAAACCCACAGAGACTGTGTCTGTCCCCTGACCACCAATGATTTAAAGAAATAAAATCAAGGAGGAGTTAAACATGAAAATCTAATAAATTAAAAACTAACTCCTCAAGTAGCACAAAATAAAAGATGAAATGGACTGTTAAATATCAGGTCCTCTGTCTCTAAAAGCTGTTTTAGGTGAATGAATTAATATCAGATTATGATATTGAATTTACTTTGTCTTACTGATACTGGTTGTCACCGAGGGAGTATGTTAGTCTAAATGAATCTACCCAACCCAGTCCACATTAATACTCACATCCCCGAGGCACAGGACGAGAGGTGGAGTAGCAGCCATATATGATTGACGTTTTATGGACCCTAAACCAAAACTAAATTATAATTCATTTTGAAAGCCTTGTTCCTTAGTCTTACTCATCCAAACTGGAAAACTCTGCAGCCAGTTTTTTTGTTATAGTGTCCGCGCTCCTGGACCGTACTCTGATTTATATCATGAATTCTCAGAGTTTTTTATCAAGTTTAGTCCTTAAATCAGATAAAAGTAATTATGTGTAGGTGATTTTAATAATTCATGTGTGAGTTGACGAAATGACCAGCTTAGTAATGGCTTTATCATTAATAACTCAATTGGCTTCTGTCAGAGTGTAAATAAACCAACTCATTGTTTTAATCCACTCTTGACTTGTTCTATCATATGGCATTGATTTGAACATTTAATAGTCTTTCCACATATCCTTTCCTATCTGACCCATTATTAATACTTTTTGAATTTCTATTAATTAGATTATAAGCCATTAAGCAAAACTTCTACAGCAGATGTCTATCTGACGGTGCTGTAGCCCAAATTTAAGGAGGAGTTCTATCAGTGTTTAATTTCCAATGCCATTGTCTGAATTTAATAGAGTCCTATAAACAACGTTCAAGTCCCTCCGAAATTGATCATCTTGTTAATAGTGCTGCTGTTTGACCAACCAACCTCCTGAGATGGAAGCACAACTATTGCAGCAGTAATGGTAAGTTAGAGATTAATGTAAGGATAAATAAACAAGTTGCAGGTTTGGTCACAGCTAAGAGAGACAATGACAAAGTTTATTACAACTTTTAAGAGAACAGAAAGAAGTTGAGGGAAATGAATGGCATATATGCTGTCACAGAGCCTCCTCCTTCCCTGAGGTTGGCGATGTGCAACAACCTGGAAGGTAATCTGCTACGCACATTGGCCTTGTCTGATCGGTGCGATGGTGATATCTAAAGGCTCCCAGTGAGAGTACCACATGGTATATGTAATGTGAATATACTATAATAATACAGCATTTACATACATTAATTAAATTTGTCCTATTGATATTGATGAATAAGCAGAACTACGGAGGGAATAAAGAAAACTTAAAAAGGCGCAAAGAAGAATAAGAACAGGAAAGAGAAACATGAAAACAAGAAGTTCGAATCAGAAGAGAAGAAACTTCCTGTTTCATGGAAAAACGATCAAATTTTGACGGCCCACCAACAGGCACGCCTTTTGTCACACAGTCAAAAACAGCACGACTTTTAATCGTGAATGTTTTAGATGGAAGTTTCAAATGTGAAGTCAATCACGATCAATTCCTTAGGATCGAGTCCCTTTAAATTACAACACCCAAAACATGCATCCTGTTGGGTTTTGCATATGGCGCAAGAAGATTCTTTGTACGTCAGGACGTGATCGGCATGTATACCAACTTTTCATACTCATAGGTGAAAATGTGCCGTTGGGGCGTGCTCAAATTGGGTGGCTGTCAGACATTTTTCCGCACAATGTCCCAGAACCATTAAATTGCCAAGTCTCGCCACGACTGAGACCTGTGCACAGAAATTTCAAGGACTTGTTTTGAGTACAAATAATAAGGCTCCAAAAAGCCATTTGAAATGTTTTAATAATAATAATTCCCTAACAATTACAACTTGCACGATTTTGGTTAATATGAAGGCCGAAGAAAGTTAAAGAATGCATGAATTTCAAAGAGAAATACAGCAAGGAACCTTTGCAGCGTTAAAGACAAGCACTTTAAGGAAAAAAGAGGAAACTGAAGAAAAACTTATGAGGGACAAATGAAGAGCAGAACGGAGGCATGGCAAAGAAAAAACCCAAAACAAGTCAAGTCAAGTCACAAGAAAGAAAAGTGAAAGAGCGAGCGACTTGAAGAAAAGCTTGACATAAGCAAAAAACTAAATAAGAATAGTGAAAATTTGTCGCTCGTGATCACGTGAGCATCAGATCATATATAGCAAATGGAACATCTCATCTATCCCTCACACCAGACTATCCAGGGTGTGAGGTGAAGTCTGATCTGTCGCAGCCAATAAAGCTGGAATCTGACCGTGAGAGTTACTATCTGAATCTGAATTCAAAATCACTCGGGACGGTTTATGCTGACATCAGCTTTTACTTTTGAAAACCGAGGAGACATGAGAAATAAGGAGCCATGTTTCTTGATTTATGTATGCAGGATACTACAGATGTTGAATCTTGGTATTCCCTTTAACATTTTCTGTGAGCCTTCGTTTGGTTGGTCAAGTTTCCAAAACAAACCTTCTTTTACAGTCAGACTGCCAGGTCACAGGTCTCATTTATTGTGGAAATTTGAGTTGCTGCCAAGTTTGAGTAGATCATATTGTGGTGCCCCTGGTGTCACTAGTTGTTTGGTGTTGTTTGTGCCAGGTCAGATGGTGGTGTTGACTGGGGGTTAATTGTGCCAACTGGAAGCACCTGGGCCCGGTGCTCCCAAGGCTATATAATCAAGGCCCTGTTGCCCATTCTAGGGTCTCTGCTGCTTCTGGTTTGTATGGTTTGAGTTTCCTAACTTGTTGTTCGATTTGACTGAATTTGTGTTCTTTTCTTTGCAGGCACGCTGCCAGTGGTGTGAGGACTGCAGTGTGGCCTCACCTTATATTTTGCTTGTACACTGTACAACATACACACACACGATCCCTCATACACACCTTAACTACTGACTACACTGATATTCACACTATATTTAAATATTTAGTTGTTCATTTCATAATTTGGACTTTTGTTCAATAAATTACCTTTTTGTTATCCTTAAGTGGTGTATCTCTCTATTTGTCATGCCTTAAGTTAAGAGCCGGGTCGTGACAATATTCATAAAACATGGCTGTAAATTTGTGTGTCAGGACGACTGTTGATGTCACTGGATGTTAAATTCACTTCGTTCTTTCTGTTTGACTGAAGAAAAATATTGTCTCAGTTCTCAGGTGAGTTCAGATACAGATATCTGCAGGTCCTCTTTGGAAGCAGTGACAGGGTGTGTCTAGGTCATATAACTGTAGTTTGGATCAAAGTCAAAGTTATTCTGTCCAATCAGGTTCCTTGTTTTCTGCTGACACACCTTCTGTCTCTTTGTACTCAGCTGTCAGTGAGTCAGTTATCACAGTGAACTCTGTGTGTTCTTTTATTGGAGGGAAAACGACGCAGAAACAATTTCTGGTGAGTAGATTCAAGATAAATATGAACAAATGAAAATATACATTAAGTGTTGAGTTTAATGAGCTGAACCTGTTATGCAGTCTGGAATGTTCAGTTGTTGTTGAGATGAATATGTTTGTAAAGGTCTGGTCAGTCATTCAGGAGAAAGATAGTTGATTGTTGAGTATCTTTCTCGACCCTGCCAACCCAAAATGTTGTTATTTGACAACCGAGGAATGAGACTCAACAATCACTGTCTTCCTCCAGAATGACTGACCCTAACTTCAAACTTTGTGAAGCTGGTATGAAAGTATCACTACTTAATATTACAATGTTGTACAAACTACAGAATCAAAAATAACATCCAAATTTGAAAAACAAGATAATTGTACTGAAGTTCCTTACAGTGTACGTTGGTGTCTAGATTTTTGGTCTCTTTAATTTACCACATGATTAAGATTACAGTGATAAGAAGACTACTTTATCTACTACTGTAAATCTCCCTGTAGTACAATTACTACAATATGTTATATAGTCTTTTTATAGTTCAGGGTACAATTGTATGCAAAAGTTTAGTAAACTAAGAGTTCTGCAGACTTAGATCTCTCTCTCTCTCTCTCTCTCACCCCAACTGGTCAAGGCAGATGACCACCCACCTAGAGCCGAAGGATCTGTCCTATGTCCTAGGTTTCTGCCTCTTAACAGGCAGGTTTTCCTTGCCCCCGTCGCCAAGTGCTTGCTCATGATGGTACCGTTGGGTGTCAGACCTTCATCAGCTCGCTAGGCCTGAGGCAGGTCAACAGTTGTGATTAGGAATCATCAGCTGGTTTCAACCCTTCACAGCTCTGACTCCTTGTGTGAACACTCAGCAACCA